CACTCCCTGCTGATCACAGTTTACTGTCTGCAGGTTTCCTAACAGCGGCTCCCCAGGCCTTTCGCCACCAAGTCACACTAATATGTGTTCCAGATACAAAGCCTGCTGCTGTTTAAAAAAATACTTTACTAATATATAACGGCACACATTTGTGACGGTTCGACGTGATTTTACAAGGATACAGTGTGTAATGACTCATTCAGGATAATTAGTGCAGTCAGCATCTCCAGTCTCTGTCATTACTTGTGTTGGTAGTGTTTAAAATCGTCCCTGTAGTTAAATACACAGCAGGCTGTGGCCGGCTGTGTCCATCCACTGCATTCTGTGACACTAGCCGCTGTCGCTCCCATCTACATGCAACTCCGTTTCTGTTAAGCAGCATCCCTCCAGCCCAGCCCTCCATCTGCTATTTCTTCAGCAGGCCCTCTGATGCCAGGTGGAAACCGAAACACTCCGCTAGTACTAACCCAAACCGCCCCCTGGTCCACCCCTGGTTTGCTGAGCAGGCCCGAGAGCCAGGTGTCTGGCTGCCCCTCCCTCGCCAGCTTTACCTGCTTCTCTGAAGGCCCAGAGTCCTTTCCCTGGGCGGCCCTCCACTCTCGAGCCATTTCTGCGTACTTCTCCTTGTCCTCCTCCCGCAGGAGCTGTGCGAGGTGGGGGGACAGAGAAGGCAGGTGAGGACGACCGGCTGGGCCCCATGCCTGCGGGCGCCTCGACTGGCAGGAAGGCAGCTCACGTTGGTTTGCCCTGGCCGACCCTGGGGCTCCCCTCGCCCCTGAGCAGGGGCCAAGCGGTCACTGTCCCTCCAAGCTATGCCCTGCCGCTCGCCCCACTAGTCCAACTGCCCAGCCCTCGGGCCTTACCGCCCAGTCTGCCGAGCAGTGAGGAATGGCGTCTGCCACGCGAGCCACGGGTAGGCCTCGCCGCCGTAGCTCGGGGATCTTCTCCTGCACGAAGAAATAGTAGGCATTGCGGCTGGCCCTGCGGTTCGGCATGGCGAGCGCCGTCAGGCGTCGACTTCGGCCTGAGCCAGCACTAGCCGCCGGCGCCCTAGACGGGCTCCCGCCCTTAGTAACCAAGGGGCGCTGCGCGCGCAGGCCTAAAGCTCTCCACCAATCAGGGCGCGACGCGCAGCCGCACTGGCCCCGCCGGGCGAGGGAGACCAGCCAGCCACCGGAAGCTGGCCCTCGGGAGGCACGGAGGGGGCGTGGCGACACGGTTTGAAGCATTCTGATTGGCTACGTCGAGGAACAGTGGGGCGTCGTCACGTGGAGGGCTGGGCACAATCGCTGTACATTGTCTCGTAAGGTGCTCAAGGCAGGTGAAGGCTGGTGGGTGCTGCGGCTTCTGGTGTGTTTTATTTTACAACCGTAATAGGCTAACAGTGTAATTCTGCAGAAGGGATGACCGGTGTGCTTGAACCACCTCAACTTTTTGCTGTAGGGCGTGTGCTTGCCAGAGAGAGACAGAAAGCGAGAGACAACCCCCCACCTCCCCATGGCCACCCTGCAATTGCTTCGCCTCCATTCTCCCCTCCGGATTTTTCAACACGCAGGTGCACTGCCCAGTGTGAGTTTCAAGCCAACGGGTCTGGGATTTGAACTGCGGTCAGCTACATGGGAGCCCAGCTACATAACCGTTGACATCTGCTGGTCTCCACCTAAACGTTTTTTAAGTGGCATTTTGAAGGAAATTCAAGAGATTATAATTTAAAATAATGTTCTCAAAGTTTTGTACATTTCTGAATAAAATTATTTTGTCAGTTTTATTGCTAGGTAACTATTATTGAAGATTATGAAAAATATTTTTATTATATTTTCTAATTGATTACTGCTGCTATGGAGGGACGATACCAGGTTTAGTGTTAGTCCTGTATATTTAGTCACCTTGTTGAACTCTCTCATTGATTCAAATAGTGCCAGTTGATTCTCCAGGGTTTTCTAGTTATACTTCCTAGATGAACTCTCTTCCCTGTTCAGTTTACTAAGTGTGTTTATATGGGGTATGTATGTTTTTATATATAAAAAAAAATGGCATTGGAAATTTGTTAAATGCTCTTCTGCATGTTTTTAGTCACGTGGGTTGTTTGGTTTAAAGTTTTTCCCATAGCACACCTACTTGCCAGAGTGAGACAGAGGGAGAGAGAAATAAAAAAGCACTCCCCCAAGGGGGTTGGCCATATGCAATCCCTTCTCCATTCTCCTCTTGGGATTTTGGACATGCATGAACATGTGCCTGGAATGATTTCCAGCTACCAGGTCCAGGGAACTCGAAACAGAGTCAGGCATGTGGGAGTCTGGCACTTTATCCACTATGCCATCTGCTGGCCCTTTTTTCTTTTTTAGTTCTTGACAGACTTTATTTTCTTTATATTTTTTTCTTTTTATTGGTCAACTTCACAGTGTTTCTTCTGCATTTCACTTATTTCTGCCTCAAGTTTATTAATTTCTACTTACTGCAGGCCTGCTTTGTGTTCTATTTTCTTGAATAAAAAGTTCTTTCAATACTTCCCAATATCTCTGTACTATATTTTTAATTTTTCCTTTTCTGCTTTAGTTGAATTCATTAGTATTTTTTGCTCTTTCTTTCCCACTGGTCTGAAAGTTATACAATCTATTTTTCTTAATGTTACCTATAAATTTTTAAGGCTCTTGTTTCAAAATTCACCTTTAAAAGTTTTTTTCTACTTTTAGTAGGTATGTGGAGCCCCACTTCCCAAATAAACAAGAAGCTTAGAAAATGACTTCTTCCCAGTCAGTTTTTCACTTTAATCATCCATCCCACTTCCTTCTTACACACTGATGTCATCTGAGGTTTTAGTTACAGATTTTGTGTTTGTTTGTTTTTAATACCAGTGTTGAAGAAATATGATTGCAGTAAGCTACATACATCTGAAGTGTACAAGATGATGAGTTTTGGCATATATGGACACCTGTGAAACCATCAGTGACTAAGATTTTTTTAAAAATGAGAGGTGTGGTGAAAAGGGAACTCTACTGTTGGTGAGAATATAGATTGGTCCAGCCACTGTGAAGAACTATATGGAGATTCCTCAAAGATCTGCAAATACAACTACCATATGATCCAGCAATCCCAGTCCTTGGTATCTACCCAAAGAACAGAAGAATCCTTAGTTGGAAAAGTGCTTGCACACTGATGTTTATTACAGCATTATTCACAATTGCTAAGACATGGAACCAACCCAAATGTCCATGAACAGATAAATGGATTGAAAAAGTGGTGGCACATATACTCTCTAGTCAGCCATAAAAAATAACAAGACCCTGACTTTTAACAGAAAGTGGATGAATATGGAAGATTTACTGCTGAGTAAAGCAAGTCAGGCTATGAAGGAGAGGCATTGTATGTCTCCACTTAATATATACTGACTGTCCACACTCTTTGGCTAAAACGGAATGACCAGAGGATATAGAAACATAGAAAATGGATGGAACCAGCAGGTAGCATAGTGGTTAAGGCACAGCACATTCTCACATGGCCAATCATGGTTCAAGTTCCAGACCTGGTGGCTGACTTTCTCACTTTCCCTCTTTCTCTCTCTCTCTCTGTCTCTCTCTGGTCAAATTGAAATAAATTAATGAATAAAATAATTCTTTTTAAAAAATAAAAGAAATATAGAAAATGGTTATAAATACTGGATACAGTGTGGGAAGAGAATGGGTGAAGGAGGAGAGACTGAGAAGGGACATTGGGGAGAGAAATAGAGGGAAGGGGCATTTGTGGGCCAGAAAGATGGGTTAGTGTCCATTGAGGATAATGTGTATACTATTTCAAACTGGATTGGTGAGGAATGTATACATGTTAGAATATTCACTTTGCAAACTAAGTGACATATGTAATTGTATGTATAAAAGAAATTGAAATTAAAAATATATTTAAATAAATAAATAAATGTATCCATCTCCAAAAGTTTCCTCACCTTCTTGCAGTTCACTGATGCTCTGTTCATTTTTTCTTCAGTCTTTTTCATTTCTGTTTCTCTTTTCTTTTTCTTTCTTTTCTTTTTTTTCTTTTTAAAATTTTTTCCATAGGTCATGTATGCTGGCCAGAGAGGGATGGAGAGAGAGAGTGAGAAATCACCCTCCAGGGGAAATGGCCATGTTATAATACCTCCTTTTCCATTTTCCTCTTGGGATTTTGGGCATACAAACACAGCAGGTGTGACAGAGACAGAAAGCAAGAAATCATTACAGATGATATTCTAAAAGTGGCAATGGAGAAATGTCAAGTTACTTATAAAGGCTGTCCCATTAGGCGAACATCAGACCTCTCACCTGAAACAATGCAGGAAAATAAGGAATGGGAAGATGTATTCAAAACATTAAAAGAATATTATTTCCAGCAAGATTATCCTTCAAATGCAAAGAGTAAATAAAAGTATTCTCAGATGAACAAAAACAGAAAGAATTTACCAATGCTAGATCAGCTCCACAGGAAGTGCTGAGTCCCATTAGGCGAACATCAGACCTCTCACCTGAAACAATGCAGGAAAATAAGGAATGGGAAGATGTATTCAAAACATTAAAAGAATATTATTTCCAGCAAGATTATCCTTCAAATGCAAAGAGTAAATAAAAGTATTCTCAGATGAACAAAAACAGAAAGAATTTACCAATGCTAGATCAGCTCCACAGGAAGTGCTGAGGGGAGTGTTGTATCAAGATAATTAAAAAGAGAAAAACAGAAATACGAGAACAACAACTGAGAAAATGGCTAACAAAATGACAGGAATAAATCCGAAAATATTAATAACAACATTCAATGTTAATGGATTCAATTCTCTCATTAGAAGACATAGACAGGCTGAATGGATACAAAAGTAGAAACTATCCAAATGCTGCTTACAAGAAACACACCTCACTGATAAAGACATACATAGACTAAAAGTGAAGGGCTGGAAAAAAATATTCCATGCGAATGGAAACCAAAAAAAGCCTGGAGTAACAATATTGATATCAGACAAAATATACTTGAAGATGAAAGATCTAAGAAGAGACAAAGAAGGACATCATATAGTACTAAAAGGACTTGTTCACCAAGAAGATATAACACTTGTAAAAATCTACACGTTCAACAGTGGAGCAACTAAATACATCAAAGAAAGACTGTTAGATCTCAAGGGAGAGATAGATTTCAACACTATGATTATAGGGGATCTTAACACCCCACTGACTCCTCTGGACAGATCATCTAAACAAAAAGAGTTACATGATCTAAATGATACCATACATGAAATGGACTTGACAGACATCTATACAGTATTTCACCCAACTACCACAAAATAAACATTTTTCTCACCCCTACATGGAACATTTCAAAGACTGGCTACATGATAGGGCACAAGACAACCCTTTACAAATTCAAAGGTATAGAAACTATATCTAGCATCATTTCTGACCACGATGGAATAAAATTTGAAATCAACTACAAAAAGAGCCCTTTTAAATTCACAATCACGTGGAAACTAAACAGCCTACTCTTAAATGACTTCACAACTATAGAAAAAATTAAGACTGAAATTGAAAGATTCATAGAAACCAATAGTAAAGAACAAACAAGTGTTTATAACCTATAAGACACACCAAAAGCAGTTATAAGAGGAAAATTCATAGCAATTAGTGTCCACAAGGGAAAAACAGACAGGTGGCAAATAACAACCAAACAACACAATTCAAGGAACTGGAAGAACAACAAGAAAAAAAAAAGTCCAGGAGAAAAGAAATAATAAAGATTTGAGGAAAAATGAATGAAAGGGAGACTAAAAGAACTATACAGAAAGTAAATGAAACCAAAAGGTGGTTCTTTGAGAAGATAAACAAAATTGACTCATTAATAGCTAGATTAACCAAGAACAACAGAGAAAGGAACCAGATAAATCAAATCACATGGAAACAGGTGTTATTAGAACGGATATAACAGAAATACAAAATATCATCAGAAATTACTATGAGCGACTATGTGCATACAAAAAAGAAAATCTAGATGAAATGGACAAATTTCTGGACACATTTAGCTTACCAAGACTGAACCAGGAAGAAATAGAAAGTCTGTATAGATCCATAAAGATCCATAACAAGCAATGAGATTGAAT